CCGAAGAACCCAGCCTCACCCTCACCCTCACCCTCACCCTCACCCTCACCCTCACCCTCACCCTCACCCTCACCCCACACCCTTACCCTCACCCTCACCCCACACCCTTACCCTTTTCAACGGCCTCCTTACCAACCATCCCAGGACTTGAAAGATGACAATGACAAGGCAGGTGTCGAGATGACTGTCCTTGTTCTCGAGCATCCACGTAAAAAGAACACTCGCGATAACGTCAAGTTGACTGAATCCAACTAGGCGAGTTTACACCTTCACCCAGGCACTGATAATGTATTCTCTTCTACATAGTATCTCGGACGATCACGACTAAACGTTGCTCATAAAGGAGACGACGGTACGGCGTACCCACGACGTGTTAGTTTAAATACGGCACGGTCTCTTTGTGCCACGGGCCGTGTTTGCACAGAGGAAACATATGCCTCTGATTTTATTGGCTGCACCTGCTGCCAAAATCCACAATGAGCTCCATTCTTCTCGAAATTCTATATTATTACCGTATGAACCTTTCTCTTCATTACCATGATACTGCCCCGATGGACATTAATTCCACATGTCGATGTCGATGGTAATCCATCCCATCGAGTTCTCGATCTATTTTGGTCAGAGCTATCATCGTTCATCAATGGACGAACCCCAAAGCGGGAATTCTGCGATGAATGGAATATAAGCGAGAATCGTTCCTGAGGGACACCTCGCGCGCAAAAAAAAACAAGCAAAAGCTAAATGTCGTCTCTTGTTTCACGACACGAGATCACTGGCATTGCATATCCTTCATGGGGGCGATGAATGGAACGTGAGAGAGGGAACGAGAGGAAGGATTCGTGTCCCGAGATTCCAAGTAGAACAAGGTCGAAAGGAATCATGTCGTCGTCGGCGATGACGTGCTTTTGATGAGAGCCGTCCACCACTCATGCGCAAGTACTGCAATCTCGAGGCCCGAGAAGCTAATTTCCTCAGGTGAAGCAATTATCCCGGCCTAGCGTTGAGCTGACTCCTGCCGGCTTAGCAGAGACCAGGGTGTATTTACAGGCGAGCCTAGGCAGGCAAGCCAGGCAGCCGAGAGAAAGCTTTCTCTGTTGAGGTAGAGAGAGAGAGAGAGACAGAGACAGAGAGAGAGAGGGAGAGAGGGAGGCGCAGAGCATGCAATAGCAATTTACGGCCACTAGTTGTTACAGCCTCGGGGCTTTCCTACCTTCAACAGCAACCCAAATGCATCAATGAAGAGAGAAGACGAGGATTTAATGATTCTAGCTGCCCTCCTGCGACAAACACCCTCCCTTCTCTCTTTCGGATTCATAATCGACGTACGTGAGCCTTGGGATGCGTTGCATTATCATAATCATCATCATCACCCTGCCTTCCTCACATGCTGACAAGGACAATGGGAATCCCCGCCGCTTTTCTTTCGCGAGCGAGAGAGGGAGAGAGAGAGAGAGAGAGAGCGAGAGAGACAATTCCCATGGGAAAGGTATACGGAGGGAGAGAGAGAGAGAGAGAGAGAGAGAGAGACCACACCCTATGAACTTGAGAGAGGAGCGAGGGCCGAGGCGAGGCCTCAGCTCCTGCGAGTGATGCGCGCCATCCGTGCGTCCAAGTCTCCACATTCCACACTCGAATAACGAAGTGTCTGGGATATACCATTCGCCCCATTACCGATCGGCGATCATCCTCCCCTCCGGCCTTGCTCCCTCATCGAAATCGAAATCGTACCGAGAAGTCGGTAATGAGAGGAATTCTTGAATTAGATATTTGGATTCCCTAGCAGGTATGCATTGGCTAGCAGGTGGCAGCCCGAGGGCATGAAAGAAGGGGAGGTTGGGCTAGGCCTTGGCTCGGCTCTTCCAGCCTATGCTATAGCCCAGGCGCAGGGCCAGGGCCAGCCTCTTGCCTAGCCTCTCTCACGAATCATTCCATGGCTGCATTGGAGCGAGGCAAGGCAGCAGGCGCTTCAATACGTATTAGACACCTGCACGGCTCTACACCTGTTGCTTGAGGGCAGCCTCCTTGGCTCTTTAGCACCGGGAAGCAAACCCCACTTCTTCAGCCTCGGGGTTCCCGCTTTACTTCTATTCAACCCCGCTATCACCCTAGGCTTGGGAATGCAAATTTTAATATTCCAAGATTACCCTACCCCCTCTGCACAGAAATTAGGTTTCTACTCGAATAACGTTCTCAGTTCAGTAATTAAGCTGTTCAACTATCACTGACCTTTAGGGAAAAGACAGCCTTAGGCCTTAGCAAAAGAGTTCTTACAATACTCCTATTATATTGCTATGATATACGATAATACATGTATGACCACATATTCTTCGTGCATTGAAACATGCCAAGAAAAATGACTCTTGAGGTCGGTGCAAAATAACTGAAGCAGGTTGCGTTGGCTGTCTGCGCGTGTGTGAGAGACCGAGTGAAAATGTTTTTTCCGCTCCGTGCACACCTCGTCATGTGCACAAGAGAAGGCTTTGGGCAAGCTCTGTCGCTCCCCCCGAGGCTATTCTACCTTGCATCTCTCTCTCTCTCCCTCCTCCTGCCGTGTGTCTGAACTTGAAATGTGCATCGAGACACCGTTGATTCCTTGAGTTTCTCGACTCCAGTGACATCCCTCATCAAAAGTGGACTCAAGGAGGGATAGTTGAACATCGTGAGCATCGTCGGTGTCGGAAAACCAAGGTCAATGCGGTGGCTGACTCCCGTGTCTGTGTTCTCGGCGAAGGACAAACATACACCTAGCCTGCTCCTGCTCGCCCAGCCAGGCCGAGCTAGAGAGAGCCTTCTGGCTATTTTGGTTTTGTTGCCTTCAGCACTGGACCGCGAGTGGATTATTGGTCGCTGGTGATCTGTGTGTGCATCAGCTAAAATGGCGGATTTGAGCCCTATGGAAGCAGACAGTCCCACAGGTGGGCAGAAACGAAAAAGCCCCGAAGACACAGACGGCGACGCGCTCTCTCCCAGGAAGCAACCATCCAATGATGTCAATGCAGCATTTCAGGGCCTCATTGACGGGCCGGACGTTTCCGATGTCACAGCCAACGATGTGGATGTTACTGAGGTAATGCTATGCCTTCTTCATTAGTTCCAGGGACCAGTTGTACCTAGCAGATTAATCGGTCGATCTTCTGAGAGCGCGTTAGTCGTTGGTGACCGTAGAAATCTTTCACATCTTGAGCGTAGTCTTATTTATTCACGGCAAGTCCGGTCGTATTTGCTGGCATAACCGTCTCGGCAAGGGGTCGGGGAAGTCGTTGCTTAGGGAGTTGTTGGGGGAAAGAGTTTTCTGGCAGAAACCTGCTTGAGCCGGACAGATGAAGGAGATAAGGGGAGACAATCCAGTGTCCAACTGAGGCTGTGCTGACCGTAAAGAATACGCCTAGGTTCGAAGGAGGAGGGAGTGGTCAGCATGAGAAGTCATGTCTCCTTCCTGACATGCTTCAGTGATGTATGATTCATGTATGTTCTCTTCGTAAAAGGACCCGATCGATGGTGCTCTCCTGAATTCCAACAGAGTAGACAGGAATACCGTGCCAGTCGAGTGCGTCCAATCCGGTCTTTTGTTAATAGTTAGGGGATGCAGTATCCTGGTGATGATCTCGGTTGGATGGGAACGGTCAGGGTGGTGATCGTTTGTGACCCCCTTTTCCTTGCTCCCAGCCTGTGTGAGCAAATTTCATATTTTGAAAGAATAGCCCAAGCCTGGGTCTTTCCCCTGCCTACCCTTGTCGAAGTTGCTTGCAGTCGGTGCAATGTTTTTAAGGAGCGTGCACAGACAGGACTGGATAGTAAAGTGGCCTCTTTCTTTCGAAAGCAAGGCCCTGTGAAAAAGGACTTGCCGTGCCGGGAGACGATAACCGGTAATTGACTGTTGCATGACCTTGATCCCAAGATCCGGCGCTGCGGTATGATGAAGGGATCGGAAAGAAAGAAACAAGATAAAGATCGGGGAAAGAAGAGAGGAAAGAAATATTCATCTGTTGTGGAAGGATATTTTTGACAGTGATGGGCTGTCGGATGGTACAGTACCTGCTTCCACGCTTTACTGAAGTCCGAGGTCTTTGCATATTTTTATGCCAAATAGTTGATGCTGAGCTCCGTGATGATATTTGCGATTTTTCGTAACCCGTAGTTATACTGTGTGCCAGTCTGATTACGCAACGATGTGGAAGCTTGAAAGATGAATGGGAGTCGGTAGCTTCTGATTTTATTGCTTCCTTTGTAATGATTGCTTTCTATCATTCTGGCTGGAGATGATCGCTCATCGTGAATCTTATCCGAAAGGTGTGATCCCGCGCAATACCGTGCAGTTGCTGAGAACCGATGACAGAACCTCTCTCACAACAGCCAAAGAAACCATCCGAAACTTCGTTCCGCTTTAGAGAAGTTATGATACTCGCTCGAGTGAGATGCTCTCCTGAGAAGTACGTAGTGTGAATTGTGCATGAATGATGTGTTCTGCATGCAGGAATTTCTCCTGTCTGTTACGTTTTCACGATGCACCTGTATGGGAGACGTGAATCTAAGTGAAATGCGACGATCGCGATGCGTTCTTCTCGTTCGCTGCATGACCCGTTCTGCTGCCTCTCAGAAACGAGGAGAACCTGATGAAAAGACGAATGGAGGAGAGAGTATGGCATAGACCTAGTGTGATGATGATGATGAGGGAGGAATGCAGTCAGAATGGAAAGAGGGAGAGTGAAATGACACATGGACCACATGGTCTGCCACAGGCGATCCTCCGCGCTCTCCCCTCATCTCCGTCATTCCATGTAATTCCTCTATTGATCGAACAGCAAATGGAAATAATAACAAAAGAGCACTGAAGCTGCTTGGAACACCAGGTTGCGTCTGCAGGTATATGACTCATTATAATTGTTTATTCCGAATATTACAATTAAAGAGCCTCAATCCGAGAAAGAATATGACCTGCCTACTCAGAAGAAAGACGTAGAAAGGCCAAAAGCAGGCAAAGGTCTACTTGTATTGAAGGCACTCGATAGAGTAATAATGCGAGTGAAGAAATTAAAAAATGGAGAGGAAACGAAATGAAAGATAGAGAATTACAGCTCCAGAGGAGACATACCACCTACAGTTACAAAACCCCAAAGGTCTTACGGAAGAACGTTTGGGAAATATTTTCGGTGTGTAGACCTAGTAGGCTCTGTTGGAGATCACAAGTGAAAAGAAAGGAATCTATAAACTGGAATGTATTTGTGGGGGTATGGAGTCGATTCCAGATGTCATTCTAGACGGAAAGCAACTTGAAGAAGTAAGGTTTCATGCAAAGTGAGAGCCCTTGAGGGTTGAACATAAATTAAGTTTGTAGAATGCGAAAAAGGAGTTGTTAGTGCTCGTTATTACCGGCACTTTGTGGGAAAAATTTATTGCAAGTGATTCTCAGCTGTCTAACTCCAAAATATTGTGCAGACGCGTTCCTCGGATCAGTCTTCTTATCTTCAATCGCGTAATGAAGCGGGGATTTTGACTGAAACGGTGAAAACAGAAGACGATTGTCTCATGAAATCGGCCGGAAAAAAGGAGATTCATTGTCATGGCTGAGGGAACTCAGTCGCGACGTGGAGAAAAGGGAGGTGGTTTTCCTTTTTCCTAGACAATACGAATGAACGGCTTTCCGAGGGACAGCTGAGAAGAATATGGGCCGGGGTTACCAGGCTTCCTTCACACCCAAGTAAGCAGAGAGAGCCCACAGGCCATGCACTTGCTTTCATCCCAGGAAGTTCCCTCTCTACTCTCTTCGCCCCTAACGGGAACACACCTATATAGGGGATCATCCCTGAAACATTTTTCCATCAATCAAATCTCGTTCATTTCTCGTCCACGGAATACCTTCTTCGCGACCCGGCGGGTTTCGAATTCCGTCATATTCCGTCTGGATATTGTTTGGGAGATCCAAGAATGTCAAACGGTGAAGAGGGAAGGTTGATTCTTGCTGTGGTTCGGAAATCTCTCAAAGCGGCTAGCTAGCAGTCGGCATCTTCGTTCTGGACCCGTTTAATTGATGTGGCACAAACGTAATGAGAATTTTTTCGCGTTGTAGATGGGAACATAAGGAATCTAACCTGTTCATTTCCTTTGTGAAGAAATACGGAGAGAGATGAGGGTGGCCACGTAGCAATTCCATCGAGAGAGGCATGCCCCCATCTCAATCGAGTGGGAGAGAAGAAATGCAACATGTTTTCTTTCGCCCCAAATGACTTGCCGTCATACCTTGAGTGATGGAAAGAAATAGAATCTCTTGCCTTCCCTCTATTAAAACGTCCGAATTTTAGATGGAGCAGGTTATGTTATTTCGTTTCGCTTCGTTGCTCCCTACGTCAAGAGGGGGAGAGAGAGAGAGAGAGAGAGAGAGACAGAGACAGGGAGAGAGAGAGAGAAGGGGGGGATAGGGCAAGAATGGGGGATAGAAGAGAGGAGGGGGGGGGGGGAGGTTGTTCGAGGAATCAGAGGGAGAGGGTGGTGCCTGAAGCCTGAAGCTTCTGCTCCGTGATCGCCATAGCCAACCGGTGCTGCCTATTCTCCCCCCCCCTCTCTCTTTTTTTGCTTCTCTCTCGTGCCGCTTGCCCGCAGGAAAAAGGGAGAGAGAGCGCGAGCGTGGTGTGCTTCCTCGGCATTAGCCTCCAGTTTGCAACCTGTAGTCATATAATACACTGTTACTCGAGTGGTGGGGGGTGGGACGTCAGTCCTCTCGATCCCCGGTCATGTGGACTGAATTCAGGACGGTCAGCACCAGGCGCAAGGAGCTGGCCAACCTCCCTAGATATTATTTCTCTGTCTTCACCCGTCGGTGACATGTGATCCTCATCGTTCACCTGTGACCCCACAGAGCAGTTATTTATCTAGAAAACAAGGGGGGAGTCGAGTGCGAGTGAGTGAAGGGTGTGATCCCCAGCACCGAGAACCCGTTCAGGTCGCTCGCTCGGAGTGGCGGTGTCTGGGATTTCCTAATCCTCTGTCGCGAGGATATGTCCACGGCCATGGAGGTACGGCATTGGCAGTGGGAAAAGGTGCTCTTTAGGGATTCCATGACGAAAATCTTCGTATCTTCTCTGTCGATCCCGAGTGAAACGGTTGTGCTTAATTATTGTCGTTTTTGCAGGAGCGAGTGGCGGGCCACTCAGCTACCTTGGGACCCATCACAAGTTTGGGGGGTAGCAGTGGAAGTAGTGGAGGTGGTTTCACGACAAGACTTGCTCATACTCCAACGTCTGACTTTCAGCCGCCATATTTTCCCCCTCCCTACAATCTTCCTCAGCAGCATCACCTCGAGTTTCAGGTTTGTCTTCCGATTCCAAGTCCTCAATGCATGACTAACCATTTTTCTAATGCACGATAAGATCGTAGACACTTGGAACCCGTAGATGGATGAAACTGCACAGGTGGCAAGTAACGCGTGCCTTGCAGGATGCAATGATGTACCAGTCACGGAAAGCATGAACTTTGCATCCTGTTCGACTTTCATTCGTGCGATTAAGTCCCGTCGGGACATGTATGATTTGTCCTCTGAGTGTCGTTCGGTCCGAGTGCGTTGACTTGCTTGATTGGTTTTATTTGATAGAAGTAACTCCTCGTGCTTCTCTTGTAATCTAATTTCTCGACGTCTTTCACGAATGGGTGTAAGCCCGTGCAATTGACCGATGAGGAAGGATTCGCTCAATGAGCCACTCCGGGAATGTTTATCGACGAAAGAGACAAAATGACGGTCTCTCTCCGCTAAATTTGGAAGCGGAGATCGGAAACCCAGTTCGCTTCATCGCGTCGAAGGGGCTCCCAAATACGGGTGTTTCTTATACATAAGTTCAGTAAGTAAGGAATGAGAAAGAGCTAACGTTATTGTCCGTTCTTAGCGCTTATCGTTGCCATGTGAAAAGTAGATTCCCATGAAGGTCTACGGGTGGATTTTGAAAGAAACGTACTTCACGGGTGGAGACTACAGCTGAAATGTGGGAATGTCATGTTCCACAGATTGGAAATGGAGATCTTAAAATACTCTAGGACGACTGTTTTCCCAATTGTGTTACTTTAAGCTGAAATTTTTTCTCAAAATTTTGCTTCAACATTCTGGACTAGCTGTCGTGAACTTATAAATGAAACTTATGAAATGATCTTTGGTATCTATTATTACATTCGAAATTCACAGTCCCTTCGTCAAGGGTAGCGTTTTCTCCGTGTCGGTTCACTTGGCAAAAAAACCTTCGTGCTGCAGCGCCTGTTATTAGACAGGCGAGGATCTGTTAACCATTGCGAGATATAAAATCTCCTGGTATCATAGCAGGCAAGCAACCGTAAAAACAGCGTGTGAAAAACAGTTTGTCCTCGGCTTTCGGGAACCCACAGTACTATTTATCCTGTTGCCACTGGCGCAGATCTTTGCCCTTTAGCCCGTGGCAAAAGTCTCAGAGGTCGAGGCCAACTGGTCGATGGCATCTGGACGAATGGCACAAATTCAAATGCGATCGTCGATATGTTCTTCCGTCCATTAACTGTAGGATAATTACGGTAATGGGTGATGAACTGTGAAGAGTTTCTTGCGGGAAAGGAATCTAGCGTGCAGCGTTCCGGACTTAATGGTACCTTCTCTTGCTAATCGCCAGATCATTAAATAAATCAGGTTAATGAAGGAATCGATGAACTGCGAGTCTTGGTGGCACTGAGAAAATCATGCACGACGTCATTCTTGGAAATACAGCCCTCGATTCTTAGGAATGTTGGTTTGAGGCCGTTATCTTGCCGTTCCGATCCGTAAGTTTTCCGTTTTTCGACCGATATCTGATCGATTGCCCGGAGCTTCGAAACGCCAGCTGTGAATGCGGTGAGTTGCGTTTCCGTCTCTTCACTCTTATATTTAAACATATCCGCTACGCGTTCGTGAGATATTACATTCGAAAGCCGAGAAGAATCCAGTGACAGGTTAGGGCTCGGTTCTTCGGCAGTGAAAGTCCGTTTCCACGCATTATTGCGCCTTTCCATCTACATCGACGGAGGAATTCATTGCGTTCTCAAATGATGTATCGCATCGGAATACCATAATAACCAACGGGACTGTTGCGTGCAGCATCAGCCCCTTAGTAGAGCGGGTGATGAATGAGGAAGTGTTACATGGTCTCATTTTGAGGGTTGCCACACTTGATATGCGGGGTGGTTGCATCAAAATATCCGCTTTATTTTATTTCGTTTTATTTTCCTCGTCGACCGGCAGAAAGAAATTAAAGGAAGCCCCCGGGAGTAGGAAGGAATAGGATTGTTGGGTTTCCTCGTTCGTGCGAGCAGGTTGGGGTAAAAGGCAGAGAGGCAGGGCGAATGCATGCCTTGAATGCACCTGTCGGTCTCCCGTATAATGCCTTCTTGTCAGTGGGGGTGCCACACCCATGCTTTGAAGAGAGCGAGATATCATTTCTGAAAGCTCACCGCTGGGTTAGATCAGCCGTTGGAGTGGTGCCAACCAGCATTAAATACCTCTCTTCTCTTTCTCTCCCTCCGAAGTATTATCCCCTTCACCGATTCCCGGGAATCACTACCTGTTTCGTGCCGAGACGACGGAGGGAATGGGGCTCGTTCTCTGCGACAGGAATCGGAAGGAATGAAAGGAAGAATATGCAAAGAAGGTGTTCGCGTGGCTCTCAGATACGTGCCACGTCTTACCTTCCGGGGATGCATACCCATTGTCTCTACCTTTCGTTCGCGGCCGTAGTTGACGATATCGCTTGCAATGGAATGCTTATTTCACCTCGCTGCTTTTCTGCCTTTCCCCGCCGCCGTACCGTAGACTTGCTTGTCTCGGGGGTTCTTTTTTCTCACTCTTTTCTCGAATGAGATCGTCTGAAATGGTCTCGATCTCCGTTGAGCAGTGCTTGGACGTAGCGATCTGAGGGAGCGAGGAAACTTCCAAGCTTCATTCTTTAGAAATTCCCGCAGATGTCCGGTGAAGGGTGAAGATGCCCGAGTACTATGCCCCATTTCACTGAATAAAATGGCAGACGATGAGTATAGGAAGCCTCTTTCACAAAACTTTGATTGAATTCTTGCTTAAATCATTATTTTACTCTGCTTTTAGCTCAACTCAAACTCCATTTCACGAACCTTCTCAATTTCTTCTTAAAATTGACTTCTTGAAAGTTCCTCGGAAAGTCGATGAGGGAAACGTGGAGTTCTCTCTTCCCGATGAAAGGAAGATCTGACAGACCGTGGACACGAAGCACCTGCGCCGTTCCCCCCCTCAATCAAAGGATGGCCCATAGTTCTTTTTTGCCCGAGCTTTCTTTCGTGTGTAAATCAGCGACAGCGATCTTTAAGTGGAAAGTTCGTGGTTTTTCACCGCCGTGAATTCTGGGATAAATAATTGCCACGCGCAGAGATGAATTACTTTTTCGGATTTTGCCAAACGCATAAAAAGAGCCATGAAAGCAGGTATGTAAGATTCCATCAGCATCATCTTTCTGCTTGAACTGCATGCGTCTATATCACTTATTGGCTTGCTATTGCACTGGGATTCCTCTCTGCTGAACGTGATGGCCTATGAGAGAAAAAGAAAGGACTTCTCCCTGGAATTGGTAGTTGTGATGGATGTGGTGTTCTAACAGAATGCATCTTGTTCGGGTTATTCATCCTGATTCTGGTTGCTTCTAAGTATATGGGTATCTAACATAAAAGGAGTAAATGTCGCAGCAGAGCATGAGCTCCAGAGTAAACAAAGGTGTGCAGTTTGCATAGCCCGTAGAGAGTTTAAAGATCGAGATTGAGATACCTCCATTTATTTTTAGCCGAGTTTGAGTCGAAATAGGTTTAAGACTGAAAATCTTTGCGCAATGCAATTAAGAAATTGTATAGTCCGCGTCAAGTATGATTCACGTTCAAGCAAAGATATAACTGAAATGAAGCTGAAGTTTTGAAAAAGCTCTAGAAAACAAAATGAGTTTCGAAAAAGATTATCAACCGAAGGCAAGACAGAAATTTGACTGGTCGGTTTTAATGGCTTTTTAAAGTGGAAACATTCGTAGACTTCCTCTTGATGTGGTTTTTTCTTTTTTTTCTTCAGCCTGCGCCTTCGGACCCGTACGTGCAACAGTTGAACTCGATTCATCAACCTCAGCACCCGTATGGCCTGGCAACTCAACGACCGGATATCCTTCGTCGCACCGATAATTCCGATCCTATCCACGTAGTCAGTATCAGCACCGTGAGTCTTTTGGTTTTTTTTTTTTTTAAATCATTCCGGTAAACGAGGAAAAGAACTTCCATCTTGGATTCTGTGGTCTCTTTTACCTGTCGGCTGCTTGTTGCCCAAGAGCTTTTTTTTTTTTCCCCTCCTGGTCTCATCTCGTCGGACTGGAGGTGGATTTTGTCAAGTCAGAAGTGAAAGAAAGAAACGTGAGAAACAAACGCGTCTCTCAAGCAGTCAGCATGGATGACTTGCACTATGATCGGGAAAGGAAAACGCATGTTTACATTGAATCCTGATGACCTCGTAGTATCGAGTTTGTTCATCCATTTAATGTGCCGTTGAAGAGAGGGGGGGAGGGAAGAGAAGCAGTGGTGTTTGTCGAAGACGGATGATTGTCGTATTATCCACAGGCGGCATTGGCGTATGAAGCCGGTCCTAGGACCGAGAGTTACCGGATCCGGAGGCCAGATACGGTATTGATGCACGGTGGCCATCATGGTCTCGACGGTGGAGATGCCATAATCCTACCCAATGCCTTGCCCACGCTGGACGATGGACAGGTGAGAAGAAAAAAAAAGTCCTCTCTTTGATGATAGATCACTTCCCTTCCTTCCATTTGTCATCTTTTCCCCTTTTCCTCCCCCCCCCCCCCCCCCCGGATCTAAAATCCACGGGATTTTATATCGGGACGCTATCCTCTAGTGCTCGCCTATTTCAACGACACTCGGGGAGATTCCAAGGGGGTTGGGGCTATAAAAAAAAATAGGGAGGGGTGTAACTGACTAGTGAGCCATCTGGCGTTGCCTATAGTCCTTCATGACTCCGGACTTCCGTTCCTTCAGAGGCTGTCCCCATTGTCTCTTTCTCCGGGTCGAGGTAATAAGTGGTTGAAAATATTTCAAGGCTTCCTTGTGCACATCAAGGTCCCTCTCTTCGCTCTCATGCCATGGTCACGAAGATAATCTCGAGAACCCCACAGGGGAGACCTCGAGGGTGAAGGAGAGGATAAGAGTTTCCTAGCGCAAAATTTCCGCGTACGCACGAAGAGAGAGAGAGAGAGAAAAAAAGAACGCAAAAAGGAAAAACCGTGAAGATAATGGCAAACCTTGAAAACTGCAGTTGTTCCCCTGGATGACCGTGTGCTTGTTCTCATATCTTTACGTGCTCGGATAAGGTGCATGATGAAGAGCGTTTCGTCTTACGGCGATTAGTTCTTTAAATTGGGGGATGTCTGATTCATGGACCGAGCTCTTTGAGGATCGGATCCATGCTCCCTTTACTTATAAGCCCCGTGTCGGCCCCATCTTCTCACAGTTCGATGTCGGTGCCTTTTCTTTTCCTCCCCTATTTTTTTCTTGGAGCCCCTTTTCTTTTTACTTCGGACAAGACGAATGGGTCCGCGCGACCCGGTTCAAAATATAAACCATATGTCAGGATGTAGGCCAAGGACCATTCCACCGTGCATTGAAAATGTGCAAAGAGTGTGGAGAGAACGGAGAGCCAGATTTGTACGACAGGAAGTGGAAGTAAAAAAGGAGATCTAGAGAGAGCACGGCGGTGTGGGCGGCGTGCCTGCCTGCCTGGCGCGATATTTTCTGAGAAACGGATTTCCCGGTCACCGAATTCCCACCATTAGACATAATTATGATGCTATAAAAACGTGTTTCCCTCCTTTTTTCTTTTTTTTCTTCCCTCCCCTGGAGGCCGATGGCTTCTCCCACGTAACAAGTTCAGTTCACCGAAATTTCCACTTCCTGTGTGATCGAAGGGACAGAATGGCATGGAAAGAAAAAGCCAGCTGAGGAAAGTGTAGTCAGTAGCCACCTCAATTCTTCCCTTTTCCCAGGAGCCCCGTGCTAGAATCCCGTTTCTCCCCCCCCCCCCCACCACGCCGTTTTTTTCTTGTCTTCGGTATACTCTGTAACCTCTGATTCATCCCTTCCTGTCCGCATTTCCTTGTATTGAGGGAAGCATGCCTGTTTAGAAGGAAAAGTAAGAAAAAGACATGAGATAGTTGTTGTCAGCGTGAGAAAGATCAAAATACGGATGTTGCCACAATGCTTGGATGCTTTTCCTTTTCCCTGTTGGTGGTAGCAACTCCGTTTTGGGATCGTGAAGGCTGAAAGATGTTGAAAAATCACCTGTCCACGCGGACATTACAATGCATGCGTATCCGAAAGCAAACAGGGCACATAAAGAGTTTGAAGTTAATGAACCGTGAAAGGTCTCTCTCCTTTTCCCGCCATGCCGTACTGCACTGTACAGTTCCTCTAGTCCTGTAGTTCCCTCCTCCTTTACCTCTCAACCTCTGTATACCTGTAAAAAGAAATAATTTTAAAATTAGCAAGAAATTATCTGACAGGAGAACAAGGAGGGAAGAAGGGGGGAGAGGAAAAAAAATCGCGGGAAAAAGGGTCTGAGCGGTTTTTGATGAATGTTTTGCCCTTTGCTCTCACCTGGGTCTCTCATTCCATTCCTTGTTGTTTTTGTCTTCCAGGGCACTCCAGTTGATGGTGATACTACTTTCATGACAGGTGAGGCACTCCCTTCCATTTTCAAAGGCGGCAGGTGACCTTGAGGATCTCGCGCGACATGCATGATGCCGCGAGGAAATATGAGGCAATCAGAGAGACAGAGAGCATCAGGGGACAGTACAGTTAGAATGCTACTGTGGGGAGGCAAAAAAGGGGAAGTCGTAGGACTTGCTTCACCGCAGGCATTTTTATCCATCGTGGTGTCATTCATCAGCGTGAGAGTCACCCGAGGCTCCCTTTGAGACGAGAGCGACGATTGCACCCATTCCCCCTTTTCTCTCTCTCTCTCTCTCTCTGATGAACCGATAATGACGTACTGTATCTTGCTATGGATTTTTTTAAATTTTCCTCAGATGTCTCGGATGATGTGGAGAACTCCAAAGAACTCAGTCTCAGTGGGGTGGTGAATCCGACAGACGTATTTTGCTCAGTTCCTGGTCGCCTCTCGTTACTCAGTTCCACGTCTAAATACAAAGTGACTGTGGGGGAAGTGCAGAGGCGCCTTTCTCCTCCAGAATGTCTCAACGCTTCCCTTCTCGGTGGAGTCTTGAGAAGGTACGATCCCAACGCAAATTGGCTTGTTTTCTTCCATTCTCTTTCCTTCTCTCTCTATTTTTTCCCTGCAAAGTCCTCTTTCTCTGATGGTCAGTCACCCCACCTGGGCCGGCTACTCATCTTCCTTCCCTCCCCCTTGTTATTGCCCCTCACTCTTGGCCCGAGCTGTTGTTCACTTCTCGATGGGAAGGGATGGAATGGAATCTTTTTTTTTTTTCCCTGTGCTTTCCCTTGTCCCTTGCTTCGATCAGAAAACAGAAATGCCACGTTGAAGAGACGAGAAGGCAGTGGCCGAGGCAATGGAAGAAACCGGTTGGACTTGTCACCAATGTCAAGGCTCTCCCGACTTGTATTGTTCAAGTTCATCGCTGGCATTTTTATTATCCTTCTCAATCCCTCCCGAGATAGAGGACAGGCTCGATGGTGTTACGTCACTGTCACTGGTCTCTATCTCTGTGGAACCCGGTTTCGCATGACTGGATTCCGGATGAAAAGAGTGGAGGATCTCTACGGGGTCTTCCAGCCTTCCTTCTATGGAAGTCTTGATGGATACCCGTGTGTACATTGAACTCTCTTCGATCCCCAACGAGGACAACATATCGACTCCTCTCTTGGTCCCTTTCAGATTCCAGCCACAGTTTTCGGGCTCCTTTAGAGGACGAACTGTAGAATGAAGATTAGAGCCCTAATTTACGCGGAATACCATTAGGGCGAAGCGGCTAGCAAGCAAAAAACGGAGGGGGGGAGGGAGGGAAGGGCAACCATTGAGTTTTGAGTGACTCGTTAGAAAAGCTTCTGGCAAAGAAATGAGCTCCTATCGCGCATAGAGCATGCATTTTTCATGACGAAGAGAGCACGAAGGAAGGGGGTGTAGAGAAAGAGATTATTATCGTAGCCCTTCGACTTTGTAATTAATTATCCGTGAGGATTCAGGTCCATGGGAGAAGAGAAGACGAAGGGATTCGAATGCTAACTGCAATGACCGTTGAGCCGAGCGGAGCTGAGGGGAAGAAGAGAGGGAGCCCATGACATCGACATGCCATGATCAAGGACATGGGTTGATATCCCCAATGTCGAGTGGAGAGCGTGAGTGCGGGAAGGGAGGAGAGAGTTTGAGAGTAAAGCAGAAGGTGGGGATGAGGAGAGTGAAGGTTGAAGTGAAGGAAAGAGGAAAGTGAAGGTGGAAGTGGAAAGTGACCGAGGCGAGGGGGAGACACACGCTGGATGCGTGACCCGCCACCCTCTCCAGGGCCAGGGTCATCCAACCACTCACGCATATCCCGCTATCATTCTCTATCACTCCCAAGAAATCCCCTCTTCTTATCTCTATATGTCGTATTGTCACATGATGCAGGCGTGCCACTCTTGTCGCATCATGACGCTCTCTGGGGAACCATTCACTTCCTTCCCTTTATTCACTCCAATGGTATTAGGTAACGAAACGAGAAGTAAGTTATATTTCTGAGGTTGTACATATTTCTTTTGTTCCGTAACCATAGCTCAATAATTTTTTTTTCCTGCTAACTAGTTACAAATCTTGACAGTAAAGTAAGTGAATGTTATCGTAGTAATTTTTTTCGGACCAAATTATGTAGTGGGAGACTGTGATTCACTGGGACGCGAGCGTTGCAGAAGAAGGCTGCTACCACGATTTGTGAAGATTCTACCTAATCAAATGCTTTTCTCAACTATCGACAGAGGACGTTACATCAGTTGTGTGACTTGAGTTTAGACTTTTGCCTTTGCCTCAGGCGGCTGAAGGAACGAAACGCAAGGCATCCATGCTTTGCATCTAACTGATTTAAAGGCCTAATTTCAATTTGTGCTAGGTTTGGATCAGCTTTTAAATTACACCTGACGTTATCCGTATTCGTAGGCTTTTCCATTACAACTATTTGTCAGATCGATGTGTGACGTCAAGAAATAAAAACTATGAGATTAACAGATTTCCCATGCCTTATCTCTGCTTTTCTTCAGTCTCTGAAAACAAAGACTGAAGAGGGCTATGTATCTGAGCATGAGGTTCGCTACAGTATCATTAAGGTCAATTTGCGTTGGGATCGTACCTTCTCAAGACTCCACCGAGAAGGGAAGCGTTGAGACATTCTGGAGGAGAAAGGCGCCTCTGCACTTCCCCCACAGTCACTTTGTATTTAGACGTGGAACTGAGTAGGCGACTAGTTTAGGTGATTGATTGAGTGTGACAATTTTTTTGTTATTACAAAAGTGATACATCCCACTGTCTAGAATAATATGATTCTGGGCTGTTTGATGATGGCTTTCAAAAGTTCATCTACCTGCCTGAATTTGAGGAGATCGATTGGACTCGCCGCTAGCGGAAATGACGTAGCTAGAGGCAGTTGCGAAAGTTTTGGTTCGGACCGAGTGAGGGGATCCGGAGCGAATGCGGAAGTGACGGGAGAAAGAGGATTAGGGTTCTCGGCTGGGATTGTTTAACTCTTAAGAACTAAATCTGAATGCGTTTGACAGGGATACAGGTTGGGGTTCGGGGCCTCGGGGAATGATGATTCCCTGCGCCCTGGTAGGGGACTCCCGACGTGTCACACCTCTGGAATAGAATGAAAAATGCACACCCATGGAATCACCAAAGACCTCCTGCTCTCTCTCTCAATTTCTCTCTCTTTTTACTCCTTGGCTCCAGAGAGCTACAGCTAGCTGGTTGGCTCTCTCTCTCTCTCTCTTTTTCCCCCCACCCAATCTAGATGAAAGGAGCTCTCATACATTAGCTGCTTGAGACAGGTGGCCAGCCCTCATGCATTCCAATGAGGCCTTTTTTTTTTCTTAATCGCTATTTCTTCAGTTGCATGGTCTCTTTGGTCTCCCGAGTTAATAACTCTGCTTTGGAATGTCTAATACGGAAAAAGAGAAACTTCAATCTCTTTCTCTTTCTCTGTCTCTCGAGAAACCAGGTCAGGGTATGAAGAAACCCCCTTCTGGCCACGAGAAGTCCCGCGATTCAATTCCGTTCTTCATTTTTCTTTTCCTCATTTTTGCGTTGCAGGGCCAAGTCCAAGAATGGAGGGCGTTTATTGCGAGAGAAGTTGGAGAAGATCGGCTTGAATCTCCCTGCCGGTCGGCGGAAAGCCGCCAATGTCACTTTGTTGACGTCATTAGTGGAAGGTGAGCCCATTTTCAGAAAATTCCTCTTCGATCAGCAGTAAAAGTAGGGGAAGAAAAGAGGAGGGAAAAAAAAAGGGCAGAGGGGGAGTCAATGCTCTGTTCGGCTTTAGCACAATCGCGTCACATCGCCCGGGGCTTCAATCATGGGGTAGAAGATGACATTTATCCAAGTACGCTTTCATTTAAGAAGTGATCTCATTAACGGCTGCAGGAGAAACCCCGAGAAGCTGTTATTAATGTCCGGATCATTAATCATGGAGCATGTATAAATCGCGGCCATTATCTGGCGGTGCTCCCCTCTGCTCTCAAGAAAAATAGCGTAGCTCTCGCTATAGTCTTGGGGAGGATTGGTTCGGTTATGTCCACCGCCAGTGAGACAGCAAATCCTTTTCATCTTCGTCATTCAACCACTTTCGGTGAAGAAATGCGGCGTGATGTAGGCCGCGATATAGATAACCTAGTAGTCATTTATGAGGGGGGGTTTGAAAAAAAAAAAAGAGAGAGAAGAGGTATAGATAGAGGCCTTTAGATGATAGTCTTGTGTCCCCCATGCATGGAAGGAGAGGAATCCGCATATCATCGTCAGCGTTCAATCTCCTTTTCTCTCTGAGATGTTTTTTGGGGGCCTCTCTCTCTCTCTCGGCCTAGCCACTTTTCAATCCAGCCGACCATGTCCAAAGAATCTCCAATTTCACTTGATTCACTGCTCGAGGCCATCATGCCCCATTAAATTTGAAGCACGCTTTGCAAACACCTCGTTTGATCCGTTCGTCGGAACGTGAAGGAGATGACAGAAGCGTCGGTCGGGTGTCGTCTTTTCGTCTCGAAGCTGTCGCCTGCGATTTCTATTCCCTGCTTCTTTCGAGTGACTGACTGCGGGCCTTAATGGGAACTGCATGAAAGTTTCTTGTAAAGATGAGGATATAAAACATTCTTGAGCAGCGTTCATCCTCTGGCCAGGATCTGGGTGAAGGATGATCGCTACTTTTTATTGGTCCTCTCGGAAAGCGCGTTTCTGTCAGAGGTTTTCCCCCACCCACCCCCTCTTCCGTGGTCGTTACTCAACGTTGACCATCACATGCTGAAGTCATAAAGGACTCGTTAGCCCCGTTCGGCGTGAAGTGCGACTTGAAACGGAGAGAACCCACCCTCTTCCCCCCTGTGGGTGTGTTCGCGCGCGTCCAGGAATGACGACAGGAGGCAAAAGAAAGAAAATAGTCGCTTGTTTCTGCGACGAGGATGCGGATATGGATTTGGAGGGGAAACTGAATCCCCCCTTGTCTCTCTACAGGTGAAGCCATTCACTTGGCGAGGGACTTCGGCTATGTTTGCGAGACGGAGTTCCCAGCCAGGCAAATAGCGGAATATTTGAGCCGTGGTTGTGGCGGAGATCCGGGAGAACAGTATCGGAGGAAGGAGCTCATCCTCGCCGCCAAGTCCGTGGATTCTATTTCCTTTTTTTTTTTTTTTACATTTTCCTCCACGCCGTCCGCATCCTTCATACCCTAGCGGTTGTCTCTCTCTCCAGGCAAATCACCAAAGAGCTGATGGACCTGTTGAATCAGGACCGGAGTCCCCTGTGTAACACTCGGCCCCAGATCCTCCTCGAGCCGAACATCCAACGACATCTGACGCACTTCTCGTTGATCACACACGGGTTCGGGAGCCCAGCCATCGTCGCTGCTCTCACTGCCGTTCAGGTCTCTCCACATCATTCATTCCGAATGCTAATCCAGCCGACCCCTTTTCTCTCTTTTTGTTCCCCTCAAGGCTTCTGTGGTCTCACAAATTTTGTTCGCTCTCTCTCTTTCGACCGGACGCGGCTCATTTGTGAGGAGAGAACAAAAAAAAAGAAGCAGGGCAGATGGAAGGCGCTTTCCAGTACATACTGACGTTACTCACGTTTTTTTAAATATTTTCTTGTGTTGTAGAATTACCTGAACGAAAGCATCAAGTACCTGGAGAAGCAGTTCCCCGGCGGGAATCCACCGCCGTCTCACGTCACAGTGTCTGCTCCGCAATCTTTGGATCAGAAACCCAAAGACTTGGACAAGAAATAACTCCTAACTCTTCTCTACCCTAAATTTTGTTTTCCTACTCGGCCCTCCAAACTCAGGAAGTGATCGCATCTGTGTGTTTTTTGGTTCTTCTTCTGTTGATTGTCTGTTGAGAGAGAACCCTTCTTGCCACCGCCGTTCCCCCAGTGCCAGCCGATCCAGGAGTAAAAGAAAAAGACGCAAGAAAGGAAAAAAGAAAGGAACAACCACGGCTCACGACTGGTTTTGGCAATGACGTCAGGCCCTTGCGAAAATTGTGATACATGATCCAGTATTAGGGAAACAAAACGAATTCTGAAATCTTTTGAGTTTTGTGGCTCCGGTTTGAGTGCCAGAAGTCGCAGCATGGGATCTCGCTCATCGGCAAACTCTTCCTGTTCCCCCTCCCCCCCTACCCCCCAACCCCCCTTTTGTTGCTCATACTGATCGCCAGAACGATTATGCATTTCTCTTTTTTTATTATTTCCTGGAAGAGGGATAGAGAGGCAGGCCCCATTGCATGTTTTTTGTTGTTTATTTCCTCTGTCTTCTGTGCCAAAGGAAGAGACTCAATTGATAAGGGAGAGACAGGGGAAAGCTAGAAGCTAGTAAAAAAAAAAAACTAATTTGGGGGAGGGGGAAAAATGAGTTGTGTCTCTCTCCTATCTCTCATATACTGGCAATGAATCATTTCGCTCCATCTTTCTCTCACTGCTCTCATTCTCCTCCAACAGCTTTTGTGCTCATTGCAGGTGTTCTTCAAGAGAATCAAAAAAAAAAAACGAAAAAGGCAAGGCCTCTGACCCTGTGCAACCTTCTCTCCCCTTCTCACAATCGTCTGAATCCACGGTACAAGTTGAAATGCTCAAGTTCTTGATGAGTGGAGATTGAGAAACTCAGACGTGATCAAGTGTCGATCGATTTAGGTCAGCTTTTTTTTCCCCCCCAGATTGCATACGCTTCATTGTATAATAGAGATAATTTTTTTTTTTACTTGAAGTGCCAAGAATGTTGTATGAAGCAGGTGTACTGTGTAGGGATTATTATTATTATTCCAACGAATGCCATGGAGGAGAGAGAATCTAAACCGAGATATGTTGTGTACATATTTATATCCGGATAGTCAGTAGTGTGAGGGTTTTCTCTCCCAATCTCTCTCTCGCTCTCGCTCTCTCACTCTCACTCTTACTCTCACTCATTCTCTCTCTCTCTGCCCCTCCCAATTTGATCATGATGAACTGCATTCGTGTGTGTATAGAGGTGCAATCCAGCTGCGGCAGTGAGAGGAGATTGATCTGATTTATTATTGTGGTTGAGATGAAATATTTTCATATCCAGATGGCTTGCTTGCATTTGGTCTCACTTTTCGTTGGATTATTTAAAAGAATTTTGTTTGCATTGTTAATATTGTCTTTTGTACAAGGCATCCATTGGAGAGAGAGAGAGAGAAAACAATTTGAAAGATAAGAAAGGAACCATTTTGGACGGATTGATGAATTCTGTGAGCATTTTGTCCTCTTGAGGTGGCGCGAGAAATTTGGACAGAGAGTGTGACACTCCAGATCCTCTCCTCAGGGATGAATTCCAATCTTTGTTGTCCTTTGTGACCCAAGTCGGTGGCAATGAAATAAGGCCAAATTTCTTCCCTACAGTCTCTTTTTTTCTTTCTTTTGTGTAATGAATTCTTGTCCGATCCGTTCCGATCTGGGGAGTCCTTTTTTTTTTGCCTCCCCATCTTCTCTCCCTATGGTATTAATTACCCAGGGCAAGCTGGGAAAGCAGTGAAAGAAAAGTGATAGCATATCCGGAATCCATATTTAAAATGGACGATCCAAAACGACTCTAATAAAACGATCAGTTCATGCTGAAGGCTGAGTAATGATTCTCCTCAGGTCAAGGCCTGGTCTCTTTTTTTTTTTATCTCACGAGGAGAGCTGAAATGCTCGGGGCCACATGGCTCGTGCTTTGCATTCTCTCTCTCTCGGGAGTGTCTTTACTTCCAGACGTTAATTTATTTATCTTTAATTTCCTTCTTCCCACTTTCAGTTCTTTGCAATAAGGAAACGTGTGCTGGATAATAGATTGCTCGAGTTTTATCATTGGAAAAAGAGATAAGAGCGACGGAGACATGAGAAATTCATGACAGGTATCCGGCAGATAATTTAAGGAGGGAAATGGAGCGGAGAAAAGACTAAGGTATGAGCCAAGACCATGCCGGCTATGAAACGACCCCCTGCTTGGGTTCGGCGTCGGGGAACTCTGAGAGACCCCGCGTTGAGCAGTGCTTCAGGACGTGCTGGAACGAAGCTGATTTCAAGTCTGGAGGAGTATGTCGCAAATACTCCTGCCAAGACTCCCATCTGTTGCTGGCCAGAGATGCGCATATAACGAAGGAAGTTCGGGGTGGCTTAAGGTACTCCATGCCCCCACATCCGGAGAAGCGGGGGGCATCTACCCCCTGCCTCCTTGTTCCACCCCACTTCCTACGCCCTTGAGTTTCAGAGAGAATTGGACCTCAACAAGTGAAATAACACATTGGGCAAAATACGATACTTTAAATTAATGTTGGGGTCGAAGAATTCGCAGCTATGGGGGGGCGTGTGGCACTCAATAAGTCTTGCCCTTGAAATCTTCCCATGGACCAAAATTTCCTCTCAAAGACATACGAGGGGCGTTCAAAAAGTTTCTGGCCCAAGGGGGAAGACGAATGTTATTTCGTTTTTCGACATAATCTCCTGCAACAGCAATGCATTTTTGCCAGCGCGATTCCAGCTTTTTGAGTCCACTAAAAAAAAATTATTCCTCTTGGTCTTCAAACCAACTGTCAATGGCCATCATGTGGTCATAAACCCTATTGAATTTCTTTCCACGCAAATTTTATTTGCGGGGAAAGAAATTAAGAAAAAGGGAAAAGGTGAAACCCAGAGAGAGCCAGATCAAGCGAGTAAGGAAGGTGGGGAAGCTTTTCAAAGCCATATTGGCGGAGACCAGTGTCTGCAACCTGAGAGGCATGAGCTGGTGAATTGTCCTGGAGAACTAGCACACCTCGAAGAAATTTCCCTCAGTGCTTCCTCTTGATTGCTTCTCTCAGCTTTCAAAGCAGGTTGGCATGATAGTCACCCATAATGGTTGTTCAATGTTCCAGGTCGTCACTTAGCAGAATTCCCTTTGCATCCCAAAAGACAGAGGTCATGTCATTGTCTGCTGAGGTGATGACCTTGAACTTTCAATGGGTGGTGAATCTGGGTTTTTACGCTGAAGACTTTGACATTTAGTTTTTGGATCGAAGTGGTTAACACATGCTTTACTTTGGGTTACCACCCTGAAGAGAAAGTTGGCTGGATCTGCCTGGTACCGCTAAAGAAGCTGCATCGAAACCTGCAGGCGATGTGGCATCGGTTCTGCGTTCAACATTCTGGGCACCCATCTTGCAGACGAAACTCCATCCGGATGTTCTTCAATATACGGGGTGGGCCAAAAAAAACGCCCCAATTTTGAAGCTTAATAACTTGGGCCCCGTTGGGCCAATATCAATTTTTAACAAAGCAAAATGAAGGTTGTTCAATTTTATTTCGAATGGTATATAATTTTGGGGGGTTGCTTCAGAGAAATAGCTGCTATTACAGGTTTTAAAAAAGTGACGAACATTTTTCCTGAAAATGGGCTTTTACTCCAAGTTCCTTTTCCTCAACCTCGAATTTATCACTCACACACACACACACGCTTTTAATGACCCAAAAATGGTTCAATGTGCCCTCCTCCACAATCTACAACAGCCTCATGTTACTCGCCTCATGATCCCATGATCTCTCATCAACCAATCCGTATCATGCAAGGGCGCGTGAGAGAAGGGGGTGCGCGGGAGAAACAGGCGACAGCAGCAGCACGACATTGGAAAGAACTCAGGAAAGCTGTTTTCAGGAAATTTTTCCATTTTTTTTAAAACTGTAATAGCGGCCATTTCTCTGAAGCAAACCCCAAAATATTATATATCATTCGAAAGAAAATTGAAAAAGCTTCATTTTGCTTTTTTTCAAACCTGATATTGGCCCAACGGGGTCCAAGTTATTAAACTTCAAATTTGGGGCGGTTTATTTTTGGCCCACCCTGTATATTCTACACTACCAGCACTAATCTGCAGGGTTGTAGCAATGTGCCTAATGGTCTTTTGCTATTCTGAATACACCATAGCCTCCGTACAATCAACATTCTCATCAGAGATTGAAGTTGTTGGTCTACCTGACCGTGACTGCTCTGCCTGCCACGTTTGAATGCAGCAACCCAACTTTTCACCATGCCATAGGAAATAGCATTGTCCCCTAAAACAGTCACTATCTCAAGTTGGATTTCCTGTGCAGTTAAGTTCTTCAAATGCAAGAATTTAACCACTGCACGAATCTATTTTTTTTCCCGTTTTTCCAAAAACATTGGAGTGACCTCACTTTAAAAATCTGTGAAGAAAGGAAAATACAAACTGGTGACCGAACATACTAGTTTTCCTCTTGAAATTGAATGGAGAATCATGGAAAAGAGCGAAGTTGTGCCAACTGGTCATCTTCCCGCTCAGGCCAGAAACTTTTTGAACGCCCCTTTGGCCTATCGAGGAGAGCGTTCTGCAATAGCTTTTTGCTCTATACCTCTAATGATGAGCCGTCAGTAACAAGTGACCTATCGAACACAAGTCTCACCAACTGGTGAGTGTTAAAGAACTCGACATTATGATGCAAAGGACAATTGAAGGGCTGCAAGGCAAGGTGGTCTACCTGCAAAAAATTATTTCCTGGGGTTCCACACGAAATGAGTGAGTTGCATAGAGAGTGTATAATGGAGGGGCCTCCCCTATGGCGCGAGGCGCTGCACCCTTCCAGGCGCAACCGCCATCTTACTGAAGTCGCACGAGCAAGGTTTTTCATAGAATATATATGGAGAGGGGGGAGGGCAAAAGAGGCAACTTGCCTCGGGCTATATGTCTGGGGACATCTACGCCGGGACCCAACTCTATTCATTTCCACGTACGAGACTTCACTAAGATGGCAGAAGCATTTGTAAGTCTTGAGGCAGCGAAGGCCTCTCCAGAGACATCTATATACACTCTATGGTGAATTGTCATTGACTGCCATATTAAATTTAAGAAAAAGTGGTATGTATCGATAGATCACTTCATCCTTTACTTCCACAGAACTATAACTTTCTGTGCAAGGAACAAGGTCCTATAAGACCAAAACCAGCGACACTTTTCGGAAATTTCTTGCAGATAGACCACTTTACCTTTCAGCCCTTCAATTATAGACGTATAGTTCTATGTGAAAATATTCAGTGTCTGCTTGACCGTTACGATTTTCTCTGAAAATCTACTTGCCCTTGAGTTTAGTAAAACCGCAAAATTGTAGTTTCCTGCGTGTAATCATTCCCAAGATATCTCAAGTCAAA